CTAACTTCAAACTTAATCAACTTAAATCCTTTAAAATTAAAATTTTACTTAATGAACTACCTACTTTCTTCTTTTACTATACTAAATATCTAAACATTTTTAATAACTAACTGTTTTTCTTGCAATAACTTAGATTCTGTTTCACACTGGAGAGCTTGCCCTAACTCTACCTCACTACATAGTATTATTTCTAATTCTATCTCTGAAATTCTTCAAAACTTAGCATTAGACCTATCTTGCAACCAAGCAGATGAACTTATTCACAAAATTCAAAACCATGCAGTATTCAATGATATACCACTAAGACCAAATAAACCCTCTCTGAACATTACAATTAAAGGTCTTATTTCAACATCTTTAATCCAAACCATTCAAAAATATAAAATTCCATACAAATTGGCCTCTCAAACTATCATTAGAATCTTAATTTGAATTAATAAACTTACTTATAAACAGATATAGAAACCATATTGCACTAACTTTTCAAATTGGAAAAAGCAACATAATATTACTCTACTTTATAATCAACCCCTACTATAACAACCCAGTAATCGAATCTCAAGAAAAAGTAGAAAATCATATACCTATTCATGCCGATGTAGCTTACCCGACCAATCACACATTAACAATTCTTGTTCACCACTTAGATAAGCTATCTGCAAAATTAACATTTACAATACATTATGGATTAAATATAGTATATTCCCTAATTATATTTTAGCTATCACAATCTAGGTGAGTCTTTGACCACTCTAGTAGGTTTAGGTCGTAGCATAAAGTAGTCTGAGCTTTTATTCTTGTATATAGTTTTTACTTTTTATATTCTATATATTTAAAGGTTAATAACTCATTGTAGTTATTATATTAAAAACTATTAATAAAGATATGAGCAAGACCTCACCTTAATACCAAAAAAAAAATAACTTCCTTCTCAAGATCCTAATCTTCCTAATCCTCATTTTCAATACTATTTTCAATATCAGCATTATTAATTTCAGGAAGTTCGAAGCTAGTGCAATGATTATTTCATCTAAATTATTTATAAAATGTGATGCACCAAGATTTAACAATTCCTCAATTTTAAGTATTTCTTCTTCTGAAAACACCATATCTTGTATTTCTTCATTTGTAGATTGTTTTTCTTCATTTGAATCATCATCTTTACCAAGACTCATATTATGTAGAAATTCA